CTTTTTTTGTCATGAGTCTCCTGGAGTGTTTAATGACCTATGTGGCTCACGTTTGAACAGTATTGTTTAACACATACCGTACACATCAGCCAGTTCAGAGGGGCTGGAGCTCGGGTAGGGCCGTGCACTTTGGTCTGGGAATGTTTCTACTTTTTGTCATGAGTCTCCTGGAGTGTTTAATGACCTATGTGGCTCACGTTTGAACAGTGTTGTTTAACACATACCGTACACATCAGCCAGTTCAGAGGGGCTGGAGCTCAGGTAGGGCCGTGCACTTTGGGATCTGGGAATGTGAGGTCTGAAAGAGCCTCAGTCGTAGATCATATCTATAGGCTTCTCCTTTTTCATTTAAAGAAATTGAGACCCAGGCCAACTCACAGAGTCTGCATAAGACTCAGGTCTTGGTCTCTGAGATCTAGCGCCCCCCCGCCAAATCCTGTCACTTTTGGGGTGAAGTTCACTGCAAAGACAACAGGGTGGTCATGGAAAGGAGAGTTTGTTTTTCTATCCTGTTTGTTACCAGTCCCCCATTCCTGCCTAGAGGCAACTGTTGCTGTGAATCTGTATCCTTCCAGATATTCTCTGAGATTTTTGCTTCTCTTACACAAATCATGGTATATCATACTTTTGTGTAATAATTAAATCAGTTTGGGATCTTTGCTCCCTGTCAACACATGGAGAGCTCCTTCAGTCTATATTGCTGTGCATTATTCCCCTGTGTGATAAGATCACAAGGTATGCACTTTCTATACTTTTCCTTTTTTTTTTTTTTTTAATTTTTGAGATAAGGTCTTGCTAGATCAGGCTGGTCTTGAGCTCCTGGGCTCCGTACCCTACCACCCCAGCCTCCTGGAGAGCTGGGACTACATGCAAGTGCACCTGCAGCCTCTTCCTAAGACTGTACCCTGAAGTCTCTCCACCCTTCCCCAGGGTTAGGACCCACAGGCAATAGTCATCTTGTCACTTCCCTGCAAACGGAGCAGCTGCTCAGCCTGCCTGGTAACTACCCTGGCTACACAGGCTAGGATCTTCATGCTCTGGACGACATCTACCCCCTACGTCTGCATTTTAGCAGTTAAACAGCCATCTGCCATTTGGTCAAACAGCCAGAAGTGGTAGAAAGAGAAGGGCCTGACATGAGCTAAATAGGGTACTGCGTGGCCCTCACCCCCTCTTTTCCCTCCTTGTGTGGCAAAGTGGCCAGTTAATAGACTGACTGCTGCCTCTCACAGACAAGGTGGTTGTAATTGTGAGTTTAACTCTATCTGAGTTAGATAAACTGCCTTCTGGTCAAGGTCTGCCTCTCCTCCCTAGCACCTCCCTGGAGCTTAATACAGGGAGTGTTTACCAGAAAAACAGGGCCCTTTTGCTTTTTCCCTGGAAACCATAGTGTTTTAGAGTGGATAGAGGCTAGATTAGAGGGAATGGGCACAGTGCCCCTAGGTGCTCAGCCCCCTCCCCCGTGTCATTTCTCCAAGGATGAAATATGGAGAAGGTGGGTGTCTAGACCTGTTAATAAAACAACTATTTTTTCTGTATGCTCAAATGGAGACCAGGGCCTTACACATGCCAGGCAAATGCTCTACCCGATAGCTGCACCCCTAACCTTGCTTTTCTTATCTTTTTTTTTTTTTTCTGGTACCAGGGATCAAACTCAGGACCTTACACTTGCCAGGCAGGTGCGGTGCCACTGAACTAAATCCCTGGCCCCTACTTTTCTTATCTTAAAGTAAGGCTTGCCGGGAGTTTAGCTCAGTGGCATCGCACCTGCCTTGAAAGCTCAAGATCCTGAGTTCAATCCCTGGTACAAAAAAAAAAAAAAAAAAAAAAAAAGTAAGGTTTGAAGTAGAAGTAGTCTCCACTTCTCTGAGGTTCTGCTTTCCACAATTGTAGTTATGTGCCATAAATTTTGGATAGTGCTGTATATAAACAATACAGTGACATATTGGGGGTAGGGCTTAGCCATATGGCTTTTATTACTGCATATTGTTACAGTTGCTCTGTATTATTACTAAGTATATTAGCTTCTCTAGAGGAACAGACTCAATAGCAAATCTATGTATAATTATACAAGGGGATTTCCTCAGTACCAGGTCAGAGCTGGGAGAGTACACAGTAGCTCTGCAGGGTCAAAGGAGGAAAGACTCGCCCAGAACTGTGATCACTAATCTGCTAGGTGTGTCTTGATCCATTCATGGTGATGTACCCTGATTCATCGTCATATTAGGTATTGTTATTAATCTATTCCTGTGTCTGATTTATAAATTAAACTTTATCTTATGGGAGAAAACAATAGATACAGAGTTTGTTCCTGCCTGCAGTTTTAGGGATCCACTGTGTCTTGGAATATCCCCCTTGTATAAGGAGAGGGGGACTACTGTATATATATATTTTTGTTTGTTTATTCTAGACAATATTTAAGATTGCATTGAGGAAATACAGGCCTTTGTGATCCCCCTCAGATGCAGTCACTGTTAATAACTGGTTGATTTTCTGTCCATTAAAAAAAACATATAGCTGGGCGTGGTGGCGCACACCTGTAATCCCAGCACTCTGGAGGCTGAGTCAGGAGGATCACTGTGAGTTTGAGACCAGCCTGGGCTACATAGTGAGTTCCAGGTCAGTCTCAACTACATAGTGAGACCCTATCTCAAAAACACCAAACAAAACAAAAAACCCCTAACCTTGGCAGCTCTTGAGAATTTGTGGAGGTAATGGCAGTTTGCAGACAGAATAGTTTGTGCCTGAGAGGGCCCAACAGACCACTGGTGTCCTCTCCTCTACAGAGGGGACCTGCTCTCTGAAAGGCAGGTTGGGGACA